ATCATATGCAGCTTCATCGTTTGGCGGTGGGCGCATCAGAAAAGAAGGAACTTGCATGGGGTCAAGAAGCAACTGTATTCCACAATATGAGTACCGTGACATAAAATAAAACGGTCTAGGGCCTAGGCATATCGGTTTATCTGCAATTATGCATCGTCACGATCATTCCCAAATCCTCTAGGCATCTGAGCATCTGAGGCAGGCTGTTGCTTACTGCGAAATTCCTGTGCCATTTGTATCATGGGAACCCAATAAACGTTCTCATGGGTGTTGACCCACTCGATAAATCGCTCCTAAATACATGACGTTATTGGGAACGCGAAGCCCATGTGATGCGCGGACTCACGAGCATGAGAAGGACTTGAGGGCGTCTGAGGGTTTACTTGATGAAGCGACAGTCATCAGAAAATTCTGGGTGTCCAGACTTACCCACTGACATCTGGGTGAATGGTGATTGGGAAAATGAATTCGTCTTCGTTACTGAAGATGTGAATGACTCGCACACAGATGTCGTATAGAAGGATGCTAGACGCACTTGTAGAGGTAGGTGAACATGTCTTTCCATATTTCCTCTAAATCCCTTGGATTGACCTACGAGATGATACTCTTAATGCGGGAGGTGGAAAGATGCAGATCAAAACTGACCCATCCATGGGAATTCGGGCTCGACTTTATGAACCTGTAAAACAGCCATCATATGAGAGACGAAGTACACGGTCATACAAAAAACACACATCATCGGCGGGAGGTCGTCGAGATACCTGCCATGACGAAGTTAGTTTAAGCCAAATACTGCGCCTAAGGAGCGGCTAACCAGTTTGCCGGAATGCACGCCAGACCTGTCTCTTTACCGCGTTTCAAAGGCTGCATCCATGATTTGGCGCTTGCAGAGTAGTCGATTTTAGTCCAGGTGTCCGCATCTCGTAGGTAGTATGCTTGGCAGCTGACGAAGAAAGACATGAGGGGCAGGTCTTCACCGCTTGCAATTGACTGACTCATGGGCCATACCAGAATGATCTGCATCTTGCGTGAGGGATGAAATCAAATTTAGGTCAAAGTCGTACCGTATTCAATGCCCTTGTCTAACAATAATTGAGCTCCCTCTTTGCTAACCTCCCACCACGGGGCAACGCTTCCCTTTCGAAAACATTTTCAATGTGTACGCATGAATGTGTGAGAAAGGGATTTACCTTGGGAGGTATTCCGTTGTTGAAAGCGGTCAAGGCGTCAAAGGTATGATCCAGGATTTCTTTCTGTTGCTCAACTGTGAGTTCCTTGGGATTCTAGAGAAAGGTCCGAGTGAGTTTCCACTGCTTCAACCAGGACAAGCCAGATCCTACCTCGTGCGAATAACCATGCAATCCTCTACACGACTGAAATGAAGTTCGAGAGATAAGTATATTAGAGGTGCACACATTTCATGTCCCGCGTCTCTGACTGCTGCCATTTGCTGAGGGAAAGTATCGAGACTATGACCTGTGAGAAGATTGGCATGAACGCCGGCCCAAGAGCTCAAGCGCATCACCAGGTATAAACCACGTCGTCTTGATTTTATACTTGTCAAAGAGCTTGAGGAGGCGAATGGAGCCAACTTCTCCAGCAAACATGCCCTTTAAGAGGAGACTTAGACTCAAAGTTTATTGATATGTGCGGAAATACCCTTGATATATCCGACGGCGAATCTTCGCCACCATACGAACCCAGCCTATGAATTAATGAATAAGATATGGTTATTAGTCTTGAAAGGCGCTTAACCATCCTGCTACAGCGTCAACGTCGACACCAAAGCTAATGAGAACGCGACTAGCAGGCATGATGGTGGTGGTTAGAGATAGACGTGCTTATCTCAGCGACTATAATTAGCACTGTGGTCGACACGTCGACATTTCAGAATTTGGACGTGTCCCGCAGTTCCAAACTTCTACGCTCCTTTGTTGCCACACTCAGGAGCACGCCAACTCGTAATCAACGGCCATGCCTGAGGCCTATCCACTCCCTACTAATCTGTCTCCAACGACGGTCGCAAACACTGCGTCTCTCGTCCGCATTGTCGCCCTCGCTCTCATCTCTGGTGCTGCTATAGCTTCTCGTTTGTTCGCTGTCATCAACTTTGAGAGTATCATCCACGAATTGTCAGTCTTATCACTACTTTGCACATGTTCTACTTTTGACACAGTCTTCTTTCTCAGCGACCCATGGTTCAATTAGTGAGTTGGCTTGGCATATCTGTTTATAGCAGTGAGTTGAAATGTCGGTACAAGTCGCGCGACAAGAGTTCTGGCTACCAAGGGATTCTATGTACGTTGTTATCCTGTAGTATGAATTATTCTGACCTTGATCAACAGGAATTCTGGAATTGGTTCGATCCCACAGCCTGGTACCCCCTCGGACGTGTTGTTGGTGGAACAGTCTATCCTGGTTTAATGGCTACAAGCGGTGTAATTTACAATCTTCTTCGCGCCGTCAACCTCCCTGTCGATATCAGGAACGTTTGCGTCTTGCTTGCTCCTGGTTTCAGTGCCCTTACAGCTTGGGCCACTTACCAGTATGTTTTCCGACCCTTTTGCAACTAATTTCCGCTAACAGACTCCCCAGATTCACGAAAGAAATGAAAGACGCAAGTGCTGGGCTTCTTGCTGCCGCGTTTATTGGCATTGTACCTGGTTACATCTCGCGTTCGGTTGCTGGCTCCTACGACAACGAAGCTATTGCCATCTTCCTCCTCATGTTCACTTTCTTCCTCTGGATCAAGGCTCTTAAACAAGGAAGCGCACTTTTTGGTACTCTTGCCGCTGTATTCTACTTCTACATGGTCGCCGCATGGGGTAAGTTACTTGTCACCGCTTGAAATTCTTGCTTAATTTGTCTATGCAGGTGGCTACGCTTTTATCACCAACATGATTCCTCTCCACGCTCTCGTCCTGATTCTCATGGGACGTTTCAGTAGCCGACTCTACGTCGCCTATTCTTCGTGGTACGCCATCGGTACGTTGTCTAGTATGCAGGTTCCTTTCGTCGGCTTCCAGCCTGTAAGAACCAGCGAACACATGGCAGCTCTTGGTCCGTCTTCCTTCCCTTGACTGTTTTCACACTCGGCTAACGTTACTTCAGGTGTTTTCGGCCTCTTGCAAATTGTTGCCTTTGCCCAACTGGTTAGGTCACACATCTCCTCACGGCAATTCCAGAGTCTTGTCCTTTACGGGGTAGTGTCCACCGGTATCTTGGGAGCGCTCGCCATCGTCGGTCTCACCTACAAAGGATGGATTGCCCCTTGGACTGGTCGTTTCTACTCTCTTTGGGATACCGGATACGCCAAAAAGTATGTGTTACTGCAACTTGACTAGTTAGGTTATTCTAACTTTTTTTCATAGATACATTCCCATTATCGCCTCTGTTTCTGAACATCAGCCTACAGCATGGCCCTCATTCTTCATGGATCTTCAGTTCCTCATTTTCCTCTTCCCCGCCGGTGTCATTCTCTGCTTCCGTCAACTCCGTGACGAGCACGTCTTCGTCATTATCTACGCTGCTGTGGCCAGCTACTTCGCAGGTGTCATGGTCCGCCTCATGCTTACCCTCACACCTGTCGTTTGCATTTCTTCTGCCGTCGCACTCTCCACCCTGCTCGATACCTTCGTTGACCCCGAGCAGCCCGAGAGCTCTGACGAAGTTGAAAATGACACCAGCGCCACCAATGGCGAGGCCCCATCTGGCTCCCCAGTGCCCGCGACGCCATCCAAGAAAGCCAAGAAAGCAGCAGCAGGCGAACCCTCCGGCATGACCCTCTCGCAAGTGCTTTCGCCCAACAAGACCAAGGGACGCGGAATCTACGGCCTCGACACTCGTATCATGATTGTCGTCAATACCATCTTCCTGCTCGCGTTCTTCGTCAGGCACTCTACTTGGGTCACATCGACTGCGTACTCGTCTCCCTCCGTCGTATTGGCATCTCAGAACCCTGACGGCAGCCAGCACATCATCGATGACTTCCGTGAGGCCTACTACTGGCTCCGCCAGAACACGGCCGAGGACGCTGTCGTCATGAGCTGGTGGGATTATGGATACCAGATCGCTGGTATGGCTGACCGCCCTACGCTTGTTGATAACAACACCTGGAACAACAGTAAGCCACCCCCTTCTGCTTTTGTGACATACTGGCTGATGAATCCTCCGTCTCGCAGCGCACATTGCCACTGTTGGAAAGGCGATGTCGAGCTCTGAGGAGGTCGCATATCCCATCCTCAAGAAGCATGATGTTTCATACGTGCTTGTCATCTTCGGCGGTCTCATTGGGTACTCAGGCGACGACATCAACAAATTCTTGTGGATGATCCGTATCGCGCAAGGTGTATGGCCCGACGAGGTCTCGGAGCCTGCATTCTTCACTCCTCAGGGCGAGTACAAGGTTGACGAGATGGCTACCCCCACCATGAAGAACAGCCTTCTGTACAAGATGTCATACTACCGGTACGTTGCTCTTGTGCGAGGTTTTGCTCGACATTGTGCTTACTTGGTTTCCGTAGCTACTCCGAGCTGTTCGGTGGCGGACCTGGTCAGGACCGTGTGCGTAACCAGCGGGTTCCTGCTGCAGGACCCACGTTGGATTGCCTGGATGAGGCTTTCACTTCAGAGAACTGGATCGTGCGTCATTTTTTCCCTTTGTACCTTGTGTTTTGGTGTTCTAACAAGCTCCTATTATGTAGGTCCGTATTTATGAAGTTAAGAAGGAGGATCCTTTGGGCCGTGACTTAAAAACTGCCAATGCGTTTGCTGAGGGGAAGAAGCGTAAACGCAGCAAGCCAACGTCGAGGCGTCGTGCTATCGTCTGATTGTAATCATAGTTGATCTGAACGACAAAATAGATAATTACTGTTCGAACACTCCGTTGAAATGACACAAGCGCGAAATGATGGTTCAAGAGTGATCGTTGATATTCAGGAAGAGTATTTATGGAATGTAAAAAGGTTTCGAACGTGGGGTTGCGTACAAATCAAAAAGGTGGGCCTAACTGGGAATTGAACCCAGGACCTCCTCCAATGGTCACCTGCTACAGGTGTGGCTATGCCCGAAGGAGGAATCATACTACTAGACCATTAGGCCTTGCAAATACACTCATTATATCGATATAAGACCTATGGTCAATAAAGGAGCAAAAAATAAAGGGTCTTTCCAGCATTGAGCGACTCACCTCATGCAAACCTTTTCACTTGTAAAAATACAATAAAATAAAGAGGATTATTATGAGATTGTCCAGACTTTAGGAGAAATATCGGCTAAGGTCCCATTTAGAATGTTTTCCTCCAGTCACATACCTTTTCGGAACGGAACACGGGAACCCCCACATTTTTACCATTTACCCCACATTCCAACGAATTGGACGCGTTCCTTGACCGCAGACTCTTCTTAGGCCCATCGCAAGTGGGGTGTGTTCAGCTGACACGAGCATAGAATGAGCGAGCTCTTAGAAGGAAAAGGTACGTAAATGGATCTTTCGCAAGTGCACGTTTTTGATTATCATTGAACGACGTCACTTGCAGTTGAACTAGACCCTACAGTCGATTTTGTGGCTGGGACCGTGGCGGTAAAGTGGCACGCTATCTGACAGTCTGTGAGCTGAGCGAGTAACTGAAATAGGGAATAACTAGCCTGGTTGTTGGCTTCCCGTTGGACACTGGTGCGTTGAATGTTACCTTTCATGATTCGGATATACTTAGCTTGATTGATACATTTCCTTTAGTAAAGGTTCGCTTTCAGAATCCAGAAACGGCCTTGAAGTACCGTTCGACAGCTCACGCGGTTTCTACTATAATACGTGAAGAGAAATTCTTGGGTTTGTTCAAGGGGATCACGTCGCCATTGGTATTTTACGTGTCCCATATATTAGCAGTGGCGCGTGTTCTTAAAAAGTTTACAGGCCTCCAGCGCACTCCTAAATGGACTTGTATTCTCATCTTATCGTTTCTTGATGAAAGCACAGCTAGAGAATAACGAAGACACGCCAACACTCACTCAAATTACACTTGCAGGCGTTGGAACTGGAATCATATCTTCGTCAGTGATTCCATCTTACCGTGTGCTGCCATCGACCTGCTTTCAAGGCTGATAGGAGCTCCAGACTTTTAACTTCACCCATAGAATTAATCAAAGTCCGACAGCAGAATTCCCTGCATGAATCGTTGTCAGTATATGGCACCGCCCTTAAAATCGTCAAAACCTCTGGGATTTCTGGGCTGTATAGAGGCATTACTGCCACGGCTTTGAGAGACACTGGCTACGGAGCGTATTTTCTTGCTGTCAGTCAGTTGTTTCCTTGACTAGTCCAATTTATCGACAAAATTTTCAAGTATGAGGCTACTTGCCGTGTCCTGCCGTCTCCCTCAACGAGAGAATCGGAAGGCAGAGATAACACAGGACCCTATTGGTGGACCTTGCTCATTGCAGGGGGGATTGCCGGAGTTTGTGCGTGCATTTTTTTATCCACGCTTGTTGGTTCATTGCAACTCCATATGAAATTGAAATCTTTCTAGTTGGATGGATTGTGACTTTTCCTTTTGATGTCGTTAAAACTCGCATACAAGGCACCGAACGAGATAGCTTGCGGGCTCGGACGTCGCATCTCGGCCCCTCACAATGTCTGCTCCCGAAATCAGACTCGTCCACCCCTCGCCGCCCCACACTAAGCGTCGTCGAATCTAACCCTTATCGGAATACGATTTCGACGTTTGTGCACTCCTATCGCTCAGAGGGCATTGGTGTGTTCTACCGAGGTCTAGCACCTACTCTGCTTCGGTAAGTCATTTTAGCTTCTAGTGTCTGCGATCGGAAATAACTCCTTGTTTGCTCCAGAGCAATTCCGGTGAACATGGTGACCTTTGCAACGTTCGAGGCCGTGGTCCATGCACTCGCGTGACCTTGACAAGATTGATGTCCAGGTGGAGCAGCGCCGACGAGATGTCTCTTCAAAATTCTGGCACTATCTCCAATATTGCGGAGCATAATAGATAGATTATTTTATGGGGGAACTTAATTCTCGAGACACGCATTTGGTACATAGAGGATACAAGATTGGTATAGCGTACACATTTAGCATACATTTTTCTTAATGTGGGTAACTGTAGAGGTATGAGGATTTGAAATGCTTGTCGTGACTCGTTGAATTGACGTGTGAGTGATTTTACTAGCCGAAAATATCAAGGGAGGCTGGAAAGTGAACACCTGTTCTCATCTTAGTCCGATTCGGATAATCAACTATCGTCCATTAGATCATCCCCATCATTGTCGTCCTCGTCCTCATCCATGAGGTAGTCTTTGCCACCCTCCTCCTGGGCCCGAGCATAGTACGCCTCCTGCTCCTCCTGTGTCGGTGCCAAGTTCCCCAGATGCAGCAAAGTTTCCGCCAATAATTCCTGCAGCTCTGCTTTTTTCTCTTCGTCGAGCGGCTCAGCAGTCACAGAGTTCTTTGCGCGCTCCAAGAAAGCGAGGGCCTTGAGCAGAGCATTCCTCGACTTTTTGGCCTCTGGAGAGTCCGTAATACCCTCGTCTGATTCCTCCATGGCGGCCTCGAAGGCCTCATACAGCGAGCTTCCCATGATAACCCAGCACCGCCCGCGAGCGCGGTTGATAGGCTCTCGCCACGCGTCCGTATCCTCCGCTTTCATCACCTCATACACGCCATCGGCCCACAACGCCCAGGTGTGGCGCTCAGTCGCCAGCGGCAGTTTCTCCGCCACGTTCAACATCTCCGTCCCGATCTGGAAGATGTTCTTTGCGCGCGAGAACGACTCGGGGAGCAGGGACTGTCCCTTGTTCGAATGCGGCATGCGGAATATCCCGCGCGAGAAGTGGTCCGCAGCAAAAATCAGCAGCTCGTTGGGCGTCACAGTCGTCATCGCCATGCGCCCTGCGTAGAGCGGGCGGCGATTGACGATCGTGGCGAACGGGGACTCGGGAGGCCAGTCTTGATCTTCGGTCATCAGTTGCGCGACGGTGGGCGCGTCGCTGGGTCCTTCTTTTTTGTCCCTTTCGTCGCGCGTCACCATTTCGTCGGCGATGCAGAGCAGCGTGCGGCCCCAGGTGACGGACATTTGCCAGTCCTCGGGATATTCGATACCGAGTCCGCTCGTACGGCACGGCAGGTTCTCGCCTGTATCAAAGACATCGAGAGCCGCAAGCCAATACAGGACGGGTATGTCAGGCTCGCCCTCGGCTGCCTGACTTGGATCTTGGGCGATTAAATTGCCAAACATGAAGAGGACAGTGCCCAAGATGACGTGCATCGCGGTGGGCAGTTCGACTGATTTTCTGGGAAATTTTCTAATGGGTCGTAGATCCAAATTACATTTGGAAAGGACATACCCTTTTTTGTCTTTTGTAGAGCTTAAGAGGATGCTAGACCCTTCGGCAGGAGTTCCAGCCCGCTGCTTTGGCGGGTTTGTAAAGAGTACAGATGGATCCGGGTACGCCAACATGAATCTATGACACTCATGAATGACACCTCGCATAATTGGTAGCGCTTCTGCGGGCTCAGCATCTACATAATCTGTCTTTCAGCCAAATACCCTAACTGATCGTGCCATCCAACGCACTTTCATACTGATCAGCTGCTTGAGAGAAGAGATCCTTCAAGTCCTCCCAGTCCTCATATGTCCATGAAGGATTTTCAGAGAAAGACTCTGGTCTAGAAGTGGCTGAGACTTGCATCTCTCTTGTCCAATTGCTTATGCGATCTGGATAAGGACTAGAATGGGTTGAATAGTCCCAGTAAGGAATCTGCTCGACGTCGCTGAGAGTCTCGAGAGAAGAAGATGAACGGTGGTTGCGTTTTGAAGAAGACGAAGAGGCGTCGTCGTTATCAGACTCGAAACCTGGATTGGGCGGTTGGCGATCCGAAAGCCGTGGGGCCATCACGCGGGCCTTCCATAGACCCCTTGGGCGTTCTCGTTTTTGAGGCATCGGGGCTGGTAACATCCTGAGGTTCTGACAGTACAAGGAGACAGGGAAGGGCATTGATTCGTTTGTATTTCTCATAAGGCAGCTTTGTATATTTATCGACACCGGTGTCCATTCTGGACCTGTCTTGTTCTAGCCCGGAGTTCCAATCTTTCTCTGATCACAAAGGTCTGGGCCAGTCTAGCCATGCACAGCCTTCCTTCATCACTCCGACCTAGCCCTATAGATTTACCATCCCCTTCTCCGTCCTCCTTTCCCCCATTTCTCAACTAAAAAGTCTCTCATAAACTGATACACCTCCCGATTCGCCCCTCTCCGCGTAATCGAGTGGTCGCTACACCCGAGCAGTGGCGTCAGAAAAACATCACGTCTCGGCAACGCTCGTTAGCAACCAAGTAACGCACCTATCAGTAAACATCCTAAATCTGAAATTCCGGACCTGGGACTTCGTGAACATATCTAGCAGATGCGCAGAGTTCGCATAGTGCACATTGTCGTCTCCACTGCCGTGAGCCAATAGGTAATCCACCGAGTGGAAGCCTGTCACGTTCGAAATAGACGCGTTTATGTATCCGCCCGGATTCAGCTCTGGCAGGTTCATGTAACGCTCAGTATATATGGAATCTAGAATCCTTCCGTCAACTGATGGCTGCGTGGGAGCATGACATCCATGTGCTCACCATACAGACGCCAACTGGTCACAGGCTTGTGAGAAAAACCGATATCAGCATTTAGTTTAATGAAGGTTAAAAATGTCAGGACGAACCGCGACCGCCATGGACAAAGAATGCACTCCTGCATTAGCTTCCACCACCTTCGAAGCCATAAATCCACCATACGACTACACGTAGTCAGCTCCAGCTCGCATTGAGAACCTCGAGATCAATGACAGACTCACCCAGCCCCAAATTCCGATACGCTTTCGATCTACATATTCCTTCGCAGCCCAGAATCTAAGAGGAGTTGAGTACTTTGCCTTCTGGGTATTAGCTTGACCCACGTACTTGGCGGCGTTGATCTGGTCAATAGTCTCATAAAACCCGAGGTTATCCTTAACCGGGTTTCTCAAGCGGCGGCCCTTGTAGCCTGTGCCACGCCCATCCACAGTCACGATGATGTACGACAACTCACACGCGAGATAGTCGTGCCAG